TGTGTGTGTGTGTGTGTGTGTGTGTGTGTGTGTGTTTCAGAGCCACTAGCTTTTGTTCTGTGTTTTTCAGATTGAATTTAGTAAATAAAGTGTCACATAAAGATTAAAAAAGAGTCATAATTGAAATCACGTGAACAGTTGTATGGAACAGGTATATCTCATTGAATGTAAGAAAGTGGTTAAATATATAAATAATATAATATATAATTAATTAGCGGATGAATAAGAAATAGCGAGTCTGACTGGCAGTTTTCTGATTTCAAATAAAAAGGCAGTTTCAGTCACATCATCTTAGAACTAAAACCTTGTTGATGTTCCCACATAAATCTGTCTCTTAAATTTCTCCTGACCATAATTTTCTCTCTGGCACGCTCACCTCACACACACACACACACACACACCCACCCCAACGGATGTCTGTAAATGTGTGTGGCGCATATGGCCCCGCCGGTCCAGCGCTGATTTTAATGTCCGAGTGTGTGTGTGTGTGTGTGTGTGTGTGTCTGTCCTGGGGTGGCGGCCCAGATGCCAGGGTTCTTATAATGACTGAGCAGGTCCCTTCATGCAAGCGTGCAGTGTGTGAGACGAAACAGCGAGAGGCACGGAGGAAGTAAATCTCCTCATGCTTGGCTGCACATGGAGCCATTAAGAGCCACCATCCTCACTGCTCCACAGGTTTGACAGCGGCACTCAGGAGTGTGTGTGTGTGTGTTTTTTTTTTTGGGGTGTTCATCATGTTTCTTTGGCTCCACCTCGCTGACAGAGGTCGGCCTGTGAGTCGTGTGCTGGGTTAGAAACCGAGGGGATAAAAAACATTACCTTTGACGATGTGTGTGTGTGTTTGTGTGTTACTGTCAGCACAGGTACACTGTGTTCTTTTAAAGTGTCTGAGCTAGACTGGTTTGGCAGAGTGAGAGAGGGAGAGAGTGGGAGGGAGCTGTCAGTGTAAGGACATTTAACGGGTGGGAGTTGCATGTGTGTGTGCGTGTGTGTGTGTGTGTGTGTCTGCTTGTGTGTGCACGTGTGTGTTGATGTGTGTTTGTTTCAGGGTTGCCCAGTGTATGAAGGGATTAACCCTGTGGGAGTTTGACGGTGCTCTCATGTGTATCCAACTGTGCTGTCTGCTGCAGCTTCTCACACACACACACACACACACTCTCACACACTCTCACACACACACACACACATGCACACACACGCACACTCATCCTGTCCAGTCCCCAGGGGTGTGTGTAGATATTGTTGTTGTGACACAGACACACTACAGCGTGACCTTTAAGTTGAGGGTGTGTGGTTGGATGTGGTCTGTGACCCGGGGAGGGACGGCATGAAGCTCACAAGCTGAAAGAAGAGTCAAGACGGAGAGAGGAGAGCGCTCAGCTTTGGCAGGGAAATCCTCCTCCTGTATCCATAGCAACAGTCACACGGTTATGACCACATTCCATCACACTCCTTACCAGTCTTCCCCTGTGTGTGTGTGTGTGTGTGTGTGTGTGTGTGTGTGTGTGTGTGTGTGTGTAGCCCAGTTCATACCTGCTGCCATTAATATGCATCTTGGGTGATCCGGTCACACCAGGCGTTTAAAGTGACCGCTCGTCATCGTGTGACACGTACGTCATTTCTGTTTGCAAGGACCAAATGCGTTGTTGTTTTTAGTGAGGCCAACTGTGACAGACAGGTCCATTGTCAGTGTGTTTGTGTCAGAGAGAGAGAGCAGGGCAAGGAGGGGCTGAGTGAATCAATGCTGCACACAGCTCTACAATGAAATAAGGTTTACGCCATTTCAAATAGTAGAAAAAAATGGCAAATCAATATGTGGCGGTCAGTGTCGATATTGTGGTGGGCCGCTACAAATAAATCAGGGTATGGGAAACACTGTGAGACGTGATCGTGATGAAACTGTGTGGCTGGATAAAATAGACTGGCAGAAGACGTCAGGTGAGTAGGCGGTCCTTTAGGTCTGAACAGGTGTTTTCACAACTGCACTTTTTAGTTTGGTTAAACCGAACCATAGATTGTAAATAAAGATGGATGTAGCTTGCGTGACGTCACCCACAGGTTTCTAAAGAGCGGTTTTGAAGCTGCTCTACCGTTGCCATCTTGGCAGTACCCTACTCCGCCGAATTCCCGGCTAATACACAATTGGGCAAAGAGGAGGGGCGTGTGTGGAGCCCAGCATACGCTCACCCACCTGTCACTCAAAGTTACACGCCCTCAGTTATGCAACTGAACTATAACTTTAACTGTTAATGAAATTTAAACGAGTGCGTTATCGGTCCTGTCCCAAACGAACTCTGGAGGTTCCTGTAACCTTCTTCCTGTGTTTAGTTTCTTGCTCCGGCCAGGCAGTCCAACCAATAAGAGAAGAGAGAACGTGCCTACGTGGATTGTAATGATGCATTTTGGTTCAAAGCAAACGGAACCAAGGGGGGAAATACTACAAGTTTACAAACTCATTAACTGAATTGGACCAGAGCAAACCAACTTTAGGTGTGAAAACGCACTTAAAATCTAAAAAAGTGTTAACAGAAAACCCTGCACAGCTGTGTCAATCCATAGTTTCCTGTTTCAGAATTACAGTTATTTCATCCCTGAGCTGTGTCTAACAGGTGCTCCAACATCACTGTAGAGAATAAGATAAGATGAGACAGAACAGTATCACTTCATCATCCCCTAAGGAGGAATTTTACTCACCACGCAGAACATTTAGTAACAGATACAGAAACACCTCAACACTGCAGAGAAGTCTTCAATGACAGGAGACTGGCATTGAAAGGTTCTTGGCATTAGAGGTGCAGATGGCTACTGGCACAAATGAGCGTATAAATGACTGAGTTGAGCACTCCAGGCGCATAGAGACGGCCTTGAATGAGAACATGAGGCTCATTGAGGCAGAATGGAGAGGATGCAAACAGTTTAGCATGGTGGGCCAGGTGAATGGTGGCTGGCAGGCGCACAGGGGACACAAGGAGCGTCTGCGCTAATGGACACGTTTGCCAAATGGTAGGGTGACCAGACGTCCCTGTTCTGCGGGGACCTTAATGAAAAAAACCTTTTAAAGCTTTTGGACGAAAGGAATATAAGTAATCAAGAACAATCAGAATTTACAACTGCTTCAAAGGTAGGGAGTCAAATGCAGAATTAAGTGTACCTAAGATGCCCCAGTAGCCACCTCTACATGGATACATGGCTTGATAGGAATTGGTTGGATGGAGTGCGCTACAGTTTATTGGGACCAAGCTCTTAACTTCCTCAGATGAAAGAGAAAAATCTGCATAATCCCTGATTTTTTACTGTTCACAACAAAATTGGACTTTTTTGATACCTTACCCAGAGAAATGTAATAATAACGAGACTAATGGATAAAAATTATGAATAAAATTTAAATTACAGTTAATACTTGACTTTAGAAACAACCGTTTACAAAACGATCTCGACATGGTCCACTTACTCTTTCATCCGTATTACATGGTCATCATCAGTAGATTTTGTTTGCTCAGATGACACGAAAATGCAGATGGTCCAACTTTTCACGATTCTGAACAAACCTCTGACATCTACTTGACGTAAATTTCTGAGCTTGAAAACAGCAGTTAACAAGACAATACCAACTCAACGTCCACATACTTGAAATAAATAAAAATGTTGAGTGACCAATCAACCATAAAACTAAAAAGTTTATGTGAAAAACCAGGTAAACTGATTCTGTTGTTTATGCAACGACGTATTAATCTCAATACCAGCACCGAACATTGCTGTCACACAGGCGGCTTGCAGCATTTTGTTTTTTGTCAGAAGAAGGTATTTCAACTCTTGCCACAGGGGCTAAGGAGATGCAGAGTTTCTAAATTGATCCATTGTCTGAGTTGATGCTGGCATACAGTGTTATTAGTGAAGAAAACAGTGGCACAGCTCCAAGTCCTGAGCGCTGTATCGGGCGCACAGTCGCAGCTGACTCAACAAGATAAGGAAAATAATAAGTATTAAGTGACTATTGAGTATTTAACTGCGAGTGGCATTTTCTTTATCATAGTTGTTAAGTGTTTGTCCTGCAAGGTGTGTTGAAATTATGGTTTCCTGCATAAGTCAAGCCAACAGTCCTCAGTATTTGTGTCCCCTTTAATGCACTCATATTGACCTTCAGTCTGTCATACACTGACATACACGTCATGTCTTCTCTGGCAGATGATGACATGTGTTCTGTCTCTCTCTTCTTCCCTCCGTTTATCACTCTGTCTGTGCTCGTCGTTAGCGTTGTCATTTCTGGCTGTGTTGTGAAACAGGGCTGGTGCGGGGCCGGGAGGAAGTGACACATGTTTGACAGGAAGCCGCCGCAGGGACGGACAGGGCGGCCCTCTTTAACTTCGCTCTGCTGCCTGTCCAAGACCACCAACACACACACACACACACACGGGTCTCTGTATAGTTGTGAGGACTCTACTTGACAGGACCTAATGCTAGCCTGAACCTTAAATCCAAGTCTTAACCATCAAACAGCCCTTTGAAGTGGACACACACACATCAACACAAGCAGATTCAAAGACCGGCCATCTCTTTCCACTCGCTTCTCTCGTCACCCTGAGTCACATGCTTGTCGATAAATTCATAGATTTAAATGATTCTTTGGGTGTGGCAGCGGTGGAGTTTAGGATCTGTTCGTTCACACACTCTATTGTCTGTCTTCTGCTTTGTGCACGAGACCAGTGGTAGCCATCGGCCCACACCTGAGTGTGTTATTTTTAGGTTTATTTTAGTTTTGGGTGAATGTGTGTGAAAAATCATCTGGCTGTATTACTGGAAAAATACAAAGTGATCACTTTAAAACTATCCCTCACTGAAATGCTCCACTCACAGGATAAAACATGTTTTAAAGACCTGCACACTAAGAAAACGCCGGGTTATTTTAATAACCCAACTGCTTGGTCTCTGATAACCTTTTACTTTACTTTTGACATATTAAACTGACCCTTCTTCTCCTTGCATTTCACCTTTCTGGTCAGGTCTTGATGCTCGTCGACAGCGAGGAGAGTTTCCTCTGCCAGCGTCTCCCCGCCCTCTCCTCCATGTCACAGCTGGGCGGTGTCGCCACAGCCTACGTCTGCCAGGACTTCACCTGTTCTCTGCCTGTCACTGACCCGCAGGAGCTACGTCGGCTACTGCTGGACGTCACCGCGGAGACGAAGACAGAATGACGACCAAAGAATTAAACAGGAGGGCAGCAATGCTCGAAGACTGCACTCCGTCAATATGCAGCGCTAGCCTAGTTTTGCCATAGTAGAATACCAATGCTTAAAAAGTCGATGCGCTACACTAGCAGTAGTGGTTACCAGCTCTTGATTAGCAAAACCAGCGAAGTGTTACCTCGAATATCAACTCACGTTTTATCTTAGAGGGCTTTGTGTGACAGCAGCAGTGGCAGCCTCCTGAAAATATAGCACTTGCACAAAATGTCCTGGCTTGACTGTTACTCTTAATAGACCTTAGACCACTTGGAGGAATTGGACCGAAAATGTTTTGCCATGTTGTCCTCTCCTCTCCTGTGTTTCAGCTCCCACATCCATGTCACATGGATCTGACAGGGGAGGCCTACATGCCTCTGTTGTGTGTGTGCGTGCGTGTGTGTGTGTGTTTGAGGGTAAGGTGGTTTGCAGGTGTGTATTTTCCATTTACATGAATTTTAAAGGTTCATCATGTATGTGTTTTTATTTATTTCGCAGTAACCTCTCAGTGAAGGAGGGGCTGTCTCACGAACCTCCGTGTAACATTTGCTCTCACGCTCGTTTGTTTGTCTGTTATCTGGGATTCTTCTCCGCTGCTGTAGAGACTCATGTCTCATGAGACTTTTATCTTAAAGGTTTAGACAATAGTGCACAGCATGTATACGCACAACCCTGAACAATAAAGATATTTCTCTTATAAGCAGCGTCCATTTCATGTTCTGTTTGTTTGAAATTGTTATTCTTGGACTTGGGGAATACTATTCAATTCAATTTATTGTGTAGCGATTGGGAGGGGGGGGGGGGAACAGCTGTATATGCTGTTGTACATGAAAAGAAATAAATACAGCTGGCTGTCATTGCTCATGGTATTGCTTAAAGGAAGCTTATATAGGGTGGAAAATATCGGCCCTAGCACGGAACCTTTGTAGGGTCATTGTTCACAAACTGGAATTTATCTGATAAATATGACGTAAGGTTTCGGTGTTTCGGCGGAGCGTGTGCAGATTCAGAAAACATCCTCATCAGCTGCGGTGCGTCGAGCTCTCAGGGCCACCGTAGGTTCCTTGACGTGTCCCAGTCTCTGTAATCAAGTCCTGTGGTCGCACTAACTAGTGAGACGAGTAAAGAGACGAGTCCGTTGTCTGAGGAGATCATCGGTAACTTTCACCAGCGCTGTTCCAGTTCTACAATTGACTCTAAATCCTGATTGAAAAGCCATTAATCGCAAATAATCACATGACTTGGTTCGCCACAACTTTTTCAAGGATTTCAGAGAAACACTGGAACAAACGATCGAATAAATTGTGACATTTTTATGATGTGTTCTGTTTTCTCTCAGCAGGAACGGAGTGAATGTTGCTATCAGTCTGCCTTCCTCTGCTTTTGTTCTATAAATAATCATCATACCGAGAGAAACCCACTGTTGTGTGTGTGTGCGCCCCCCCCCCCAGCATGCTCAGTGAAGGTAATGTAAACTCTGTGTGACTGTGTTAATACTGAAAAGGGGACGCATGGGAGATAGTGAGTATAAATGTCTCATGTATGAGAGCGGGAGACAGATGGACCGCTAATGTCGAGGCGAGGGAATTTGTCTCGGAGGGCGCCGCTCTGGGCTGTGGAGGCGATGGAGGAGAAACAACTCTGGAAGAGAAGAAGCAAACGTGACGCTTCCATCATGACACGACCTTCTTATCCACCAATAGGAACACCTTGACCATCTGCGCTTGTTTACTTGTCCTTCTCTTTCTGTCTCTACTTTTCTTTGACACCCCCCCCCCCCCCCCCTTCTTCTGCCTCTGTGGAAGAGCAAGAAATTACCAAGAGAGAGAAAGAAAAAAACAGGGTGTGGAGGAGGAAAATGAGGATCAGAGACAGACAGATAGGAGAGAGGGATCACTCTGTTCCAATTTAGCTCCATTGTGTCCCGACCTCACTTTTCTTAACCTGTCAAGACTGGGAACAGTCACACTTTTTGTCACTTTGTGGATCCTTTTCATGTATTTCCACCAAATGCTTCCACGCTCTTATCTCCCCCTCGCTCTCTCCGTGTCTCACCCTATCATCTTCCTCCAGGTTGGGACCCATCTATCTTTGGTCTCTCCTTCTCTATTCCTCTGCATGTAATCATGTTGGAACTGCTGTCTCCTCATTTATTCCCCCCCCTCCCACACCCACACACACACACACACACACACACACACACACACACGCTTATATGCAGTGTTTGTTACCCTCCCCTCCCCCTTTTGAATTCCATCACTTGTCTCATTATTGTTCCGCACTAATTGTTTTGATGAGCTGCACAAGCTAAATTTTCATTAGCGCTGGGATTCATGGTTGACCCCAGCTAACCTGTTGGCCCACTAATTATGGAGCTATAATCTGCACACCACAGATCAGTGATGATATTGATGATAATTTTACAGAAATATACAAACAGCAAACGTAGTTACAAAATGCTTAAAAAAGAAACTAATAAAACTAGAACTACCTCCTCGTGGTTTTCTGTTTATCCAGAGTCGTATAAAATATGAATCATTTGTGTGAAATTTTGTCATAATTTCTGTGTGAAGTCTTGAGTTATGGCTGAAAAGTGTTTTGTGAGTTCACACTGACTTTGACCTTTGACCTTCCCAAAATCTAATTAGTTCATCCTTGAGTCCTAGTGAAATGTTTGTGCCAAATTTGAAGAAGTTCCTTCAAGGCGTTACCGAGATATCGTGTCCACGAGAATGGGTTGACCTGAGAACAATGCTGCTCTGGCTCTGACTGTCGCCGGCGCGGAGGAATAAGAAATAAATAAAAAATATGTGAAAGTCAGTTAAAGGCCAGTTTAATACGATGCGTTCTTGAGCTGATGCTGAACAAAAAGTACAGAAGTAGCAGTGTGGATTGTGAATGGTAAGTGTTTCCACAGCATTGGTGCCATTACAGCAAGTGCACACTCACTCTTTGTTGCAATTCAGGAAAAGTGCCAGAAGAGTTATTTCTGCTGAGCTGCAGTAGGTGCGCCCTTGTACATTTGGGGGTGACAAGGTCAGAGATGGACTGGAGCCAATCCACTTAACACACAAGCGATAAGTAGAAGTTTGAACTGTATTGTGGAAGCAACGAGAGGCCACTGAGGGTATAGTGAAATTGAGAGATAGTGTGTTCTCTTCTCAGGTGACAGCTGAGCGGCTTGGACTGATTGAAGACAATTTACTTGCAATTTAGTGAGTGCAGAATAGAGAGAGACACAATAATCAAGACAGGATGAAATGAAGGTGTGAAAAGATATGTCCAGATTAGCTGCAGCAGGCCCGTCTCCATTCACTCAATTTGGGGTAGCACTTTATTTCCAAGATAACAAAATACATTTCATTCATTAATTAGAATCCTGTATTTTCTGTTATCTAGAAAAATATCAGACGTGGCCTTCACAAGATACAGACATATTAACTTCTCCTGAATATCTACCGTAGGTTTAGTGAAAGCCTCAATAGCTTTCCAAAAAATACTTCTTTATATTCCCTGAAAAGACGGATGAACGTTCCTTTGCTTTTGAGTCTAGGACAGTTTGGGGAATTGTATTTCAAGATATGCATCTTCACTGAAGCGAGACAAAGTTTATGAAATCTAAAATTAGCCTTTTTGATTTTGCTTCTTGTAAATGAACAGTGTGTTCTGCTGCGTACACTAACTATATATCTTGTTAAAGTCATGCCAATTCTGTGCATGTTTGTTTCATGATTCTGGTGTGGTTATGCCACAGTGTGTGCGTGCATGCGTGCACGCTATTGTGCTCACTATCAGGTATGGCTGCTGTGTTTCAGTCTTTCTATGTGATAATGAGGCCACAGGGGTCTCAGAACAGCGACACACTAACTTGGAGAGAGGAGAACATTCAGAGGCAGAGGGAAGGTGTTATTCTTGTCTAATATCTCTGAGCTCAAAACACACGGATGCTTCTTAAAATTTCCCTCCACAGAACATTGCACAACCGATAAACTTGCTGGTTACTTATACAAACTTGAGGTGTAAAAGTGCCTTGTGTGTAATCACCCCAATAAGTGTTTGTTCTATATGTTTTTATGTTTTTATCATCAATTTCTCATTAATTTTAAACATGTCTGTCATCTCAGACTTTAGGACTCTACTTTGGTTTTGGAAAAATGCTCTATAAACAAAGACTTTAATATATATATATATATATAAATAGACTGCCACCTAGTTGCAACCAAATGTAAGTGAAGTTAAAAACTCCAACATCCAAGATGGCCGACAAAACATCAGATATGCTAATAGCCTAGGAACATCTGTCCAGTCCCTCTATAGAAGAAGACTTGTTACAGGTGATAACAAGTAACATGTAAGGAACAATATTATTAATCGATTTGTCAAATATTGATTTTTTTTTTTTTACAAGCAGAAAATTACAATTCTACTAAAGTGGACATCATGCGTTAGCAGTTATGATTAAGCACACTAATCATGCTGTACTAAAACTTTACAAATGTGTTAAAATTGTGTCTGTAGTGACATTTTCTCACTAAATAAATCCATATGTATTAGAATTACGTAATTTCCCGGGCGTTTACAACAAAGATAATATTTAGTGCTAATTCAGTCTATTGTTTTGATCATCACTTTGCATATCGTGAAATTCCCTCAGGCACATATAAAGCTTTAAAATTGGCTTTTTTCATTCAACCAGCCTCCAAAACCCAAAGACATTCAATTTACTATCAGATACAACAACTAAAGTTTTAATTCCTCACACTTGAGATGCTGCAACCTGCAGGATGTAGTAATTATTATTACTTGAAAACAGATTTAAATGGCTGATCAATTATTACATATTTGCTGAATAATTTTTTGACCAGCTAATTGATTAATGGATTAATAATTGCAGCTCTAGATATTATTTTTATATAAATATATATATATATTATTTTTAGGGAAATTAATTTTGGTAATGTTTACAAAACAGCAGTAGTTTTAATTGGTGCAGCTTTGAGAGTAATACCAAATTGGACTACTCCATGTTTCTGCTCATATGAAGCGTGGTTTGTCAGAATGCCCGGGGTGATGCTGGGAATGATCGATTAGAGGCTATTGTTGTGGGAGGTGGTGATGGAAGTGAAGAAGGATCTGTCTATTCGCATTCATCATCACTTCCTCTGGAGTCAGTGGGAGGGATAGAAAGACAGAAACAGACACAGCATCATGACAAACTGCTATGAATCCACTCATTTCCCACTTTACTGCACCATACAGTCCATGGCACGAAAACAGCGTGTCTGTCACCTAATTTCTCCCACTCTTCTCTTCTCAGTATCTTCCCCAGCTTGTCTTGCTCTTTCTGACATTTCCACCCATACTGCAGCCGTGTTGGATCACGGCTCAGACTACATCAGAAGCAGCAGCATGTCAAAAGCAGTCAAGCAGTCAGAGCGCATCCAGCCAGATATCGTCGGCCAGGGTGGAGCCGGAGAGGTAATAGAGTTATCGTCACGGTCGAGATGAAAAACACTCAACTTGAAATTTAACATGAATGCCAGAATGCAGAATGTATATGTTCTGTGTGAGTCTTCCAAGTGGCATCCTCAGGGGCTGAAAAATAAAACCAACATGGAAGAACCAGAAGCTGCAGTTCCTCTAATGACCACTAGAGTCCCCATAGACTCCCATGTTAAAATGTCCAACTTTACA